AAAGTCGTGAAAACTTTCCTTATTTTATTTGAATTTAAATTTATTACGAAAAAGGTTGACAGTTTTTTTTGAAAAAATTAATTTGTTAAGATTTATATACAAATTTCGTGGAATTTTATGATTGGAATAGCATTTAGTTAAAATCATTTATTTAAATTAACCAGATTGATCAAAGGAATCAGATTTATTATATTTGGATGAAATAAAGGAACCAGATTTATTATATTTAGATGAAACGAAAGAATCAGATTTATTATATCCAGATGAAATAAAAGAATCCAGATTTATTGTATCTAATCCGAATTTAAAATATAAATCCAGTTCTAACCTCTAAGCTTATGTTTTAAATTTTCATTTTATTAGTTTTATTTTTATATATTTTAAAATGTTATTTATAAATTTAATTATACTATTTTATTTTTGAGTATAGATGAAATATATTATATGTAATGTAAATAAAACTAGAATAAAATTATTTATAATTGTATCATCATTATAATTGTTAATTACATTCTTATAAATATATAAAGTTTGTTTTTATATTTTTATATTTTAAGTTACAAAATATAATTATTAATAGGACTATTATTAGATATAAATATAATATATTATCATCAATTAAAGATAGAACTAGTTGTAACTAGTGACAAATAAGCATCACAAGTTGCAACTAATTGTAATATTAATAAAAATTGAGTTGCAACTAGTTGCAATAAGTGATAAATAAGTATTATATAATCGCAACTAGTTGCAATGTCATTTTTATTATCAATTAATAATTTTAATATAGTAATGATTATTTTTACCTTATTTTATTATTATAATAATAATAGTACTTTTTAATAATGAAATTAATTGATAAAAATGTTTATTGCAAATAGGATAAAATATATATTCAAACTTGTTCATTTTAATATAAAAATTTTTAAAGAAGTTTATAATTAAATTTAGAAAGATATTAAAAATAATTTTTCTTTCTTTTATTTTCATGATTTAGTAATATAAATTTTTTTATATTTATCTGAGTTTTTAAAGCTTTTTCTTATTTTTATATTAAATTAATAGCTTGACTAAACAATTTTTTACTTTAAATAATAGATAATATAATAAAATTTAATAAATAAAATTGATTTTATTTTTATCAAATAAGAATTTAGATATTAAAAATTTATTATAAAAAATAATTCAAAGTTTTTCTTTATTAAAATAATTATTTATTACTTTTACAATTAAAATGATTATTGTTTTCAAAATTAAATACTTTATCAAAATTAATCCTTTATGTTTTATTAAAATAAATTTTATAATTGCTATTATACTGTTATGATATCATAATTTCACATGTTTTGATTAATTTTTTTTTAATTTATCTTTAATTTATTTATATGTAAATTATTAAACTTTTAAAAATTAGATAATAGATCATATTCTTTTATATAAATTTATGTAACACATTTTAATTTATATAATTTATTTAATTATTGTTTAATTTTTTTATGTATTCATTAAGACATTACATTTGAATTATATAAAAGTAAATAGAACTCCACTATGCTTTAAATAATTAAAGTTATCTTGATTATTCAATAAAAAATTATTTAATAGAAGATAAAAAAAGGATTTTTATAAAATATATAATAAAATTATGTTAAAATAATTAAAATCAGGTTATTGTCTCAAAAGTTATAAACTTTAAATTATGGAATTTATTATATTTGATTCTGATTTGGCTTATAATTTTGGCTTTTAGCCTAAAATTATGTGTAATATAAATGGATTTTATGTAAATAATGTAATACATCATAATATTTATATATTTGATTTGAAAAAATATCAAAGAGGTTTGAATGTTAAACAAGATGAATATGCTGAAAAAAATTTCGACAACACTGTAGTTATAGGATATGTCGATTCTAAACGATTTTCATATATATTTAAAATTTTTTGTTAATTTTTTTAACTAAATTTTAATTATAATAAAAACTTATTTGAATATTTGAAAAAAATAATTTCTTTTTTTAATTAATTTTATAAGTAAAATAAAGATAAATTGTAAGAAAATTTTCATAATTAAAAGTTAAACTATGAACTAAGTTTTGATAATTTATAAATAAAGTTATTGTACATAGAAGTCCTTCGCTACACTTCGGACAATAATTAAAATTATAATAAAAAAAATTAATTATCTTTATTTTATTTTTATTATTAATAATACAATGAACGTTGCCCAAAAATTAAAAAAGAAACAACCCCTATATAAATTTGTATTTGACTGCAGTATTAGCAAGTTGAAAGTTTTGAAATAATGAATGTTAAAAAAAATGATTAATATAAATTCTTAAAACAGTCAGAGTATATTCCTATTATCTATAATATGGTTGTTAGATAAGAATATTAATAAATCATATTAGACGAATCTTATGTTTTTCATATAAATGATCGACAAAAAAATGATTGAAGAGCCCCTGCAAATAATGACATTTTACTTGACTGATAATTTTGACAGATATCGATTTTTTTTGTAATAATTATAGTCATGTGAAATATTATATAGATGAAAATTTGGTCATGCTGTAACAAATAGAAATCGTCAAAAAAAAAAAATTTTTATGAAACTGTTATTATTATTACTCGTGTTGATATATATATATAAAAAATGTAGTTTTTAAAAATAAAAGATAAAAATTGAGTGATGGTGGATGGGCAAGGTTTCACTATCTTATGGGAGTGATGAGGGTCCCAAAATAAAGAGAGACGTTGTGGGGATCAACTCCTACTGAACTGATTGTCGCCGCGTCTGAATTGACTTAACCTTGATATCAATTAGTAAGTTTAAAATCGGATTGAAGACTCGATCACAAAAAATTTAATTCTTTCGGAAAAGCAAAAGTCAAAAGTAGTTGGTCACCATTTTATTTTACCAAAAGTTCGGCATGCATAACAATTGGGAAGTATTAGATACAATACAAAATTTAATTATAAAGTTTGATTTCTATTTCGTGTAAATTAAAAACGTATATATATTAAATATTTTCATACACATCCGTATGGTTTTGTTCGTTCTAAAATCATATGAATATAACCTTTTGTTAATAGTGATTCACCACTCTTAAAAAAGTTTTCCCCTTATTTAACCATTTATTTTATTTAGGGCAAAATGGATGCTTACAATAGAATTGTCGCTACTACTATCTTTAAATTAAACACTAACGCTAATATTACTAAGTTCTCACGATCACATGATGTTACGGTTTATTACATATCTTATACGTAATATTTATGCCACTTTATTTTTATAAAGATACCTTCTCTGTTAGTTTTCGTTTTCTTTCATTTTCGAAATGAATAATCCATTAGACGAAATCTCAAATGTTTTATATAACATCTTTACTAATCCTGATAAATCCGCCTTAGAAAAGGAGGTCAAAAGAACTTTTACTCACAATTCTGAATTTAAACATTTTTTAGCAACTGTTCCTGCTGGAATTGGATCCAGAGAAAAAATCATTTCCCATTATAAATTTTTCCGAGGTGAGAAAACTTATTTTATAATGAAATTTTATTATTCTCATAATGTTCTTATTGTATTGTAGGATTTTACCGGAGTAATACTCTAGATATCCATGAAAAGTGTAAGTTTTTTCCATATAGCCCGTTTTCTTCTTCACTGACATTTGAGTAACATCTTATTAGGGTTTAATGAACCATCTGGCAGGATGGTCCTTGATGTGACTGAATATATCCAATTTATTTATTCTCCATGGAGACAGACTCCTTTAAGGTAATAACAAAAAAAGAACATATTTGATTTTAAGAAATATCAAATTATATTCAATGTATGATAATGATTTTCTTTACAGGCTTTACATCATTTTTAACCTTCAAAAAAACGAAGGAGGAAAATACTTTATTAATAGGCATGAAGATTTATGTCAACCTGAAGATTTACTTGGAGTGTATATTCCTTACGTTGCACCTACGTTATTAGTAATGACTAAAAGGGCAATTTCATTCATTACGATGCTTGTTGGCTCAACTTTTAATTCAATTGGGTGGTGCTGAATTTATTAAACAAATTAAAAAGATTCGTAAATGTTAATGTAGCATGTTCTGGTATTTTGATTTTTCCTGCTTTATAAAATTGACGAGTAATTTAACTCTATTATAAAAAAAAAAACACCTTTTCCAACGTTCCAAATACCCATTTTTACGATTGTAATTACATAATACCTAACATTGTGGTCTCATTTGACGACTTTTGTCGCAAGCAGCAAAATCAATTGTAAATGTTAATTTTGTTTTTCATGAATATAAATTTTAAACGTGGATTAGATAATATTTTAATCATTAATTCAAAAATAAGGGCTTTCAAAATTTTATTGTAATATTTTTATTAGTACTTTTTATAGTTTTAAAATAATTTTTTCCGATTTAACATTTAAGCTGACCGTGTAACAGTCGACTGACTGGATCATCGGCTGAGTCGTCAACTTAGCCGACTAAGTCATTTAGGGGTTAAAATTATGTAAATTTATGTGATACAAAAGTCGACCAAGTTGGTTAAACTAATTACGCTATTCGAAAAATCCTTGTTGGATGAATTTTTAACTCGCGTGACCTGCTAATAAAACCTTAATGTAACACAAACCATGATGGTCAGGTACACCAGGACGACCGCGCTTCTCAGGAGGGCTCAAGAGTTCTTTCCCCACAGTTCTCGGCCTCCACAGGCCAAGTTACATACATGGCCGTCGCAGTCTCGTAACACCCATACCCATATCTCCTCATATGCCAAGGATTCCCTGAAAGCTGGAGTAAGAAAATTACAAGAGGACATAAAAGAGGGCGCAAAAAAGGATTTGGTATTGTACCTTTTTTTGTCTTTGTGATCAATATGTTCTTTTCGGCCTGCAGACAGTGTGTTCTGACTTACACCTTGACAATGCTAGTCAACTTGGAAGATTACAAAGTGGGTCGCCCCTGTGATTATCCTAATATTATTTGACCGTACTTACACCAACTGGTACAACAACCAAAATGAGAAGAATCTCTTTATGCCTTTGAACACGGTTTCTGTCCAAACCTTGATGTTGAGGAGGAAGATCTGATTGACCGTAAAGATGTTATCAAGGAAATTGAACGAATTCTCAAGCCGCCCTCTAAACATAGCTCTTATCACGTCGTTGTCGGGAACCACGGAACTGGGAAGACCACAGTGGTCCCGGCAGTGTGCTAGGAAAGTTGGAAAAGGGATCATTTATGTTAATGCCCCCCTTATGTTAGATGACTTCATTGATGATCTTGCAAAAGCTATTTCATTCAGGGATAATGAATCTTTCATTGACTCATTGACGCGGAAGATTCTAGGCAAAAGCGAGTCATGTAAGGTTATTGTAAAGAAATACTTGTGTTTACTCTGCACTTACTTCTTGTTTTATAGATGAACGGTCCAAGGTTTCTCGTGTCCTGAATGCCTTCGACAAAGCTGCTAGAAAATACAAGGCAAATAATGGCAAACCTCCAGTTTTGATCCTTGACAACATAAGTAAGATGGGCCAGAAAAATGTGAACATGTTGGAGGATCTGCAGGACATCGCAAAACTCTATGCTGACCAGCGCAGTTGCGTTATTGTGTTTGTCAGTAGCGAGAGAACAGTGCCACGCATGATGATGCGTGAGTATTGTATGATATAATTCGCCTGTATCTCGTTCCTTGCTGATGGCTTCTTTGCTCTACTCTAGAACGATCATCGTGGTCACGTGCTGATAAAAAACCCATTGTCATCGGAGACCTAACTAATAAAGAGGCATTCACCTTCCCCCACGGCAAACTTGGCATTGAGGAAAAGGTCGCCAATCAACTCATCCAACACTTAAGTGGTCGGATTTATGATCCTAAGACATATGGTGATAGGATAAATAGAGGCGAAACATTCGAAGGTGGGAGAGCATTTACTATCTGGACAATGATGATGGTATTCTGCATGGCCGTTGTGTGAACGTTCTCATTACATTTAATATGTTGCTTTTAGAGATTCGTAAACCGTGCTTGATGACGCCAATCGCAACTTTCACCAGGCTCGAATGATGGAGGGCGAAAGAAATCATGTCATTGGCAAGGTCATTGTCCAGGAGTTGGTAAAAAATGAAAAAATCCATTTTGATGCATTCATCAAGCTCGTCAACAATGAACAAATAGCCGATGAACTGCTACAGGCCAATGTTTTCTCATATAACCCGGAAAGTGGAAACAGAAGTTTTTGCAAAAAATACAAAATCTTCGAGAGGAATTAGCTATGGGTCTAGTTTTCACTTAATCAACAAATTAGTCTTCTATTTTCGTCACTTTGAAGCTAGTTATATCACCTGAATTGGACTCCCAGTAGCTAGAAAATATTTTGTAATAGTCATTTTATATATATAAGTTGCTACTTCCGGCAATGATTTATTTCGTTAAATAAAATATTGTACTGGGAACGAGGCCACGCTTTGCCATTCATTTTTACATGTATGTAACGATAAATTATAATTTGTGGTACAAAATAATGGGTCATGCGGCGACAGATTTTTTTTTCAGCTATAATTATACATCATGCTGGGTATCATACCAGAAATCGGGATTATTTCGAGAATTGGCACATCTCTAGAAGATGGAAGCATGGTTGCAAAATGTGAAGATTCCATATACAAACGTGTAAATGTCAACCCGACCAAACCAATTAGTCCTGGAGCAACCGAAGTGGTGAGGAAGAGCCACATGCTGTCCTATTAGATAAATGGACCACAATGCAGGTATGTACGACGGATGAATTTCTCACATATAGCACCATTCGGTATTTTTTTCGCAAATAAAATTCTTTTAACGCTTTGTAAAGATGAAGCTAGGGCTTTAGTAGATAGTGAGTTTAGGGACGAAATTCCTGAGACAAAATGTTCTAATGATGCTTTCGGAAAAGAATGGAAAGAGGTCAGAAGATGTAATACCATCGGTATAGAAGAAATGGTGCAGATCACCGTCATCTTACTCAAGATTATATTGATCACACAGTTAGAACAGTTGAAATAATAACTTACTGCGTCAAATTTTTCTCAAGTGTAGTGGCATAGCCATCCATTACTAAAGTTTTTTCATATTTTATATCTTCTAGACATGTATGGTCATATCGGGCTTATTCTACAGTAACTGCTAAATGTAATATATAAATGTATTTTTTGCTGAACATCACGTTTCAAAAATGGTTAGATTATCCCGAAACCCTTTTTTGAAGATACTGTGCCGTTTCTTCTGCGCAATTTTGACAATGTCCAGACTAGAGTTGGATCGGTCCGGTCCTCAGAATATGGACCGAGGACCGCAAGGACCGGTCTTACCAGGACCGATCCATCTCTAAGTCCAGACTTTACCATCAGAAAAAAATAGTATTTCCCCTCCCTTAAATCTGCGGGAGATAGCCTATCCTGATGACTTATCATTTACTTTTTTTTGAATGAAAATGAGGGGAATGTGATTACATCCCGTGATTTGAGAAACATGATACAATTTTTTTATGATAAACGTCATGGCGGATCAATGAATCCATATAAATTTGAATCGTGATATTCTATATAGTATAAGTTGATAAAGAATCGATAAAATTCACTAAAAACGATATAAATCATTAAAAAACTGTAGTTGTAAAAGATGGATTCAAATGGTGCTGCCTACTTTAAGCTTTATTTACCTGATCGTGATGATACGTATGAAAAGACAACAAATGCATTATCCTCTTTACAAAAAATAATATGATATTAAACAACAGAAATGTGATGCTCTCGTATTCATAGTCCATTTAGAAAAATACTTGAAGAGTTCAGGAATCTTTTCTAGAATAGATATATTCAAATGAATGCAAATTTTTATGACACTAATAGTGGTAATGGAAGGTTCCTTTCTTTTAGAATAAAAACAATTTATATATATTACACTGTATGTGTATTCATTCTTGAAAAGGATATGTCACGTTATGTAGATATTCACTTGAAGAGATGCATTACTAAAGATACTATTTCAAAAAAACATGTAAAAAGAAAAGAAAATTTTCAATCTATTACTTTAAGGGAATTTTATATTTAGTAATATAAATAATACATATTACGAAAGAAGTGTCTTTAACTGAAGCTTTCATTCTAATCTTTTTCATATTCAGAAAAGAATAAATTGGCATCAGTATTATATTTATATAATTCTTGTATAATTAGCTATGAATTTTATAAAGTGATTATAGTAAAAAAATACTGCATAAAAGAAAGAGATAAATCAACATCTCCTCCATTATTACAAAAGCTTGCTGCATTAATAAGTTCTAAAGGGATTATGCAACATAGTGCAAATGCATCTAAGATTTTCTTTTCAGCTTATAGATAATTTATATGTATAATATAATATATTTTTTTTTTCAAAAAATTTAGTAATAATAATATTAATATCTTAGAGATTATTAATTACTAAATACTATAATTATGATTTGAAAATTTCTATATAATAATTATCTAATAAGCTTATAGAAATTACAAAAAAAGGTCTAAGTTGTTAACAAAATAAATTTGAAAATAGTAAGAAATGATAGTACTCTTGATGAAAGATACTTTTAGGTTTCTCATAGTAAAACTTATTTTATTAATAAAAAATTAATTAATTTTATATGAAAAATGAGTATAATTATTATTTTGCTACTATTTAGATAAAAGCAAAAAAAAATCGGTTATATAAATGATTAGTTAATATAATATATATACTTATTTTTAAATTATTATATTAATAAGGCTATATAGTTGTTAAAGATAAATTAGTCTAATTATTAAAATGATTATAAAATTTCAAAATTATCATATTAATAAAAATTATAATTTTAAAAACTTTATCAGAATTTTAAAATATGAGAAAAATAAGATAAATCAATAAAAATATAAAAATTTGACATTAAAATTCATATATAAAGTTTGAAATAAAAATTTTATTATAAATTTTTCAAATTTGAAGATAATTATAAATTTGTATACTGAATTTTTCATATTAGTCCTTAATTAAAATTCTGAATATTATATTAATAAAATAATATATTTATTCTATTACAATATATATAGATATATGTAATATAAATTAATACTTTTTGATTTTCATTATAATATATATAATGTAATAAATAATACTTTGCAAATCATCTGTAAAATTATACTTATATAATAAAATAATTTTTACATTAAAACTGACAGAAACTGACAGACCTGTCATATATAATATATATGCTAAATATGCCATATCTACCAAATAGAGCATACATATTATTTATTACACTTCTATTATTTATATCATTATTATTATTTATATCATAATTAGCATATCTGTTAGTCCTGTTATTATTGTCAATAGTATCATAAATATCATAGATTTTTTTTAATTATAATTTTTCTATATAAAGGACATGAAAATGCCTTAGAAAAAGGACAGATCCCAACATTGTATTCAATATATATTTAATAACAATAATAAATACTCTTAATATTTTGCAAATATAAAACTTATAATTTTATTCTTGTTAACTAAATAAACTCTCTAACTAATAGTATATCAAGTTGATTAGATTTAAGTTAAAACTATTATTTCACTGACTTCAAATTATAGTTAACTTATTCAATGAAAAGAGTAATGTTAACAATATATAAAAAATCAATTTTTCAAAAATATTTGAATTTTTTACTTATATTATTTAATAAAATTTTATTTATTAATATAAATAATATATCATTATAAGTATATTTGCTCTAAAAATACAGGATATTTTTATTATATAAAATCTATTTATTCTGATCTAAATATATTATAAAACTTTTCTAAGTCTTAATATTAAAAAGTTGAGCAAAAAAGTTTATATATATTATTCTAATATTTTTTTAAATATCAAAAATTTAATATATATATATTTTTTAAGTATAAAACTTTAACATAAAAGTCTATTATATACTATTCTACTTTAATTTTTAATATAAATTCATGCTTAAAAGAACATGAAAAGAAAATTACAACATTTAAAAGTAATATTTAAAATTATAGTTGCTTATTATTTATTAGATATTATACTAATAAAACTCTTATATCTTAAATTAGTAAATATAATTAACTTCTTTACAATAATATCCTTTAAAATTACCTAATAATATAATTATATAAAAGTATATTTATACAAAAATTGGATCTTATAATTATGTAATAAATCTTTGATCAATTTAATGTAATTATATTAATTTTTCTTTTTTTTAGATTCTTTTCAATTTTAAATTCTAGATAGTTATTTATTTATTTTATTTTTTATTTATTTCTTTAACAATTCTAAATTTTTAATATTTTTCTTTTAGATATAAGATCAGAACAAGTTAAACTAAATTAAGTAGAACTATTGATCATTTTTAATTTTATATGAAAATTTAAAATTTTTTAATAAAGTTTATTTTAAAATAAAATAATTTTATGATGATTTATTACAATAATTTAAAAGTGTAAGCGAAACCAAAATCTTAAGATCGAAACATTTCAGCTTTCAAGAACTAAAATCTGAAACTTTCTGATAATCCAAAACTAAGACAAAATTAGCGAAACTGGCGAAATTGGCAAACTAGATGAAACTAGCAAAACCTTTCAAAACTAGTTAGTCAATCAAAATAAATGCTGATTTAAACCTTTAATACTATTAAAAACTAATCTGTGCTAATTAATCAATAAATTAATTAAAGTTGCTATGCTAATTAATGTGCTATTTACACATAATATACAATTAGCATATAATTTATTATTTATTAATTCGATATATCTAAAAACAAAAATTTCA